AGACCTGTGAGCAGGCCATTGCAGTAGTCTAACCTACTGGAGACAAATGCATGGATAAGAATCTCCAAGTCTGCTTTAGACACTATGTTTTTGATCCTGGCAATGTTTTTTAGATGGTAAAAAGCTGCTGATGTTACTGATTTGATGTGGCTATTAAAATTTAAGTCTGAGTCCAGTATTACCCCTAGATTTCTGACCTTGTTTGAAGGTTTTAGGGAGAGAGACTGTAGGTGACAGATGACGCTCTCTCTTTGTTTCTGGGGACCAAAGACAATCATTTCAGTTTTGTCTGCGTTTAGCTGAAGGAAGTTGTTTTGCATCCACTCACTGATCTGTTGGATACAGTGAAGGAGTGAGTCCACTGGTCCATGTTCTCCTGCAGTCAGTGAGACATAGATCTGAGTGTCGTCTGCATAGTTGTGATAGGACACTTTGTTTCTGCGTATTAACTGACCTAACGGCAGCATGTAGAGATTGAACAGAAGAGGTCCCAGGATCGACCCCTGTGGTACTCCACAGGTCAGGGCCATATGATCTGAGACACAGTCTCCAATCTCCACAAAGTACTTCCTGTCTTCAAGGTAAGACCTAAACCAACTTAGGGCGGTGCCAGCGACTCCAACCCAGTCCTCTAGTCTCTGTAAGAGGATCTCATGGTCGACGGTGTCAAAGGCAGCACTTAGATCTAACAAGATTAAGATTGAGACTTTGCCTGCGTCAGTGTTCAGCCGGATATCGTTTGTAACCTTGACAAGAGCAGTCTCAGTGCTGTGGTGGGGTCTAAAGCCGGACTGAAACATATCAAATGAGTTGTTAATTATAAGAAATCTAGTAAGCTGTAGGTAGACAACTTTTTCAAGGACTTTCCCCATAAATGGCAGATTTGAGATGGGACGATAGTTGTTAAGTACCGTAGCATCCAGGCTGCTCTTTTTTAGCAGGGGCCTGATGACTGCAGTTTTCAGGGCCTTTGGGAATATTCCAGAATGAAGGGACATGTTTACTATCTGTGTGAGTGACGGTAACAGACTGCTCAGAACAGACTTCAGAAATCTAGTGGGTAGTACATCCAGGCTGCATGTGGAGGAGCTCAAACTGGAGATTATTTCTTGGACATTTTTATCATCTACAGGTGCAAAGTAAGTTAGCTCAGAGAGCCTTTCTGGCTGTTGGATTGTTATCTGTGGATTGGAGACAATGGCGTTTTTGATGCCTTGAACCTTGTCATTGAAAAAGTGTGCAAACTCATTGCATTTACGTTTGGAAGTTAGCTCTAATGGCATCTGAACAGGGGGGTTTGTTAATCTATTAACTGTTGAAAACAGAACACGCAGATTGTTACTGCAGCCTTCAATCATTTCAGAAAAATACCTTTCTCTCGTACTACGTAGCACCCGGTTAAACTCGCACAACTTATCTTTGAAGATCTTGTAATCAACCTGGAGGTTGGACTTGCGCCACTTCCGCTCGGCCCTCCGGCACTTTCTCTTTTGTGCCCTGACCGAGTCTGCTTTAGCCCACGGCGCCTTCTGCTTATTTTTCACTATTTTAACCTTCACAGGGGCAACGGTATCCAGAACATTCAAAACACTAGAGGTGACAGAGTTAAACAGTTCATCTACAGTAGAATACGATGCATTTTCAAAGTTCATCATTCCCATAAATAGTTCACTTGTATTTTCATTTATGTGTCTTCTTCGAACAGTTGCAGAGTCCACTGGTGGTTTGTTAGTGAAACACATGTCAAAAAATACACAGAAATGATCTGAAAGAGCAACATCGACCACGCTTATATTTGAAATATTCACCCCCTTTGTAACTAACAGGTCTAGAGTGTGCCCTCTGCTGTGGGTGGGGCCACTCACATGCTGAGTGAGACCAAAGGTATCAAGTAAAGAACTCAGCTCTTTTGCATTTCTGTCATCAACATTATCCACATGAATATTAAAATCACCTGTAATAACTAAACTATCAAAATCTGTGCATACAACTGAAAGCAACTCGGTAAAATTATCAATAAAACTGTGACATGACTGCGGTGGCTTGTATAGGACTATGAAGAGTATTGGAGGAGATTGTTTTTGTTGTATTTTAAAAGACACATATTCAAAAGACGGAAACTTCCCAAGAGACATTCTATGGGAGACAAAGTGGTCTCTAAAAATGGCAGCTAAGCCTCCTCCTTTTTTGTTTTCCCGTATTTCAGATTCAAATTTGAAATTTGGTGGTGATGCTTCTATTAAAACTGCATTTTCTGTATTTTGGTCAAGCCATGTTTCAGCCATGAACATAAGATCAAGATTATAAGAACAAATAAAATTATTGATTAAAAAAGACTTGTTAGAAAGAGATCTGACATTTAGCATAGCAAGTTTCAAAGTTTCAGTATCAGCGGTTGTGGTCGGCTGATTCTTACACGGAACAAGAATTAGATTTTCCAGATTAGACTGATTAACTCCAGATGTCTTTCTGTAATGTATTCTTTGTGTTATCACTAAGGGAATGGCACAGGTGGCTTCATGACAGGGCCCCAGCCGGGTCTCTCCTCTAACTAGACTGCCAGTGGCTGCGAAGCAGAGACCCTGTGCATCCTAGGGAGAGGAGGGAGGAGGATGGAGAGGTGGGTGGTTCTTGGGTGTTGGACGAGGGGGGGTTGGAGGTGGATGGGTGTTAGGGGAGGGGCAGGAGTTGGGAGATAGACGAGGGGGGAGTGGAGGTGGAGGGGTTCTTGGTGATGGGAAACGAGGGGGGGTGGGGGTGGGGCTGGAATGGTTTTGGGGTTAGGGGAGGGACCTGTGGATTTTGCGGGTGAATTCGAGTTAGAATTTGAGGGACGGGTGGATTTTGTGGGAGAATTTGAGTTGGACGCCCTAGGTGGCTTTGGAGGTACGTATGGGGAGAAGTTATGAATGTTAGATAGGACCCTTGATCTGGCTACAGTGGGTGTGAGAGGAATATTCTTCATCGCCGATCTTATCATGCCTGCAGAGTGTTCCGGTAAATCCAATAGTGATGGAAAACACAGGGAAAGGTCGTCCTCATGTTCCTTAGATGGAGTGGATGTAGCGGGGGGGACCCAAACCGGGTCCATGGAAGGTGATGAGGGAGTCTTTGGTGGAGACGGAGGTGGTTGAGAGGCCCCCAGTGCAGGCCTGACTGTAGCCTGTAGCAATGGGGGGGGCTTCACGGGAGCTGTAGGTGGGGAAGGTGCTGCTGAAGATGATGCAGCAGCCACAGCTGGTGCTGGTGGTGCTGATGCTGAAGGCGCTGATGACGCTGTGGCAGCCACTGCTGCTGCTGGTGCTGGATCCTTTGCTGATGATGATGCTGGTGGACGTGTTGAGTTCTTTTGAGGCGGTGGAGGTGCCGAGACCTCTGGGTTCCATGAGGGTCTCGCCCTTTGTATCCTCCTCTCTTTCAACGGCTGAACGCGCTGCGCAGGCTGAGGTCTTAAGGCAGATGCAAAGTTATCCATCAACACTTTTACTCCGTATTTGTTCAGATGTGGGCCTTTCCCTTCAAAGAGCTCGAGCCTATTCCAGAACAGATTGAAGTTTTCAATGAATCCAAGTCCTCATGTGGGTATAGGGAAGCTCATGTGGGTATAGGGAAGCTGTAAATAATTGACATTATTCCTGCTGATTAGAGATGCACCGATACGATACTGGAATTGGGTATCAAGGTAGATACCATAGGCTTGTTCTCGTACTTGTACTCAAATCATAAAACCCAATACCAAAAACAATTCTCACATTTTTTATTTACATTATGTCACGATAGACAGCCGTGCGGCTCATATTGCAATGGTGATCTCCCAAAAACGGCAGCTAGAAAGCAAGCTAGCGGCATGCAGGCTAGCAGACAGCTGTATAGCAGTTTTTTTTTATATAAACAAGAGTGACGAGTAAAGTGGACTGTATGTTGTGTAAGGCAAAACTGTCATTAGGTGGGTTCAAAACAAACATAAGCAACATGACTTGCTAAAAAACTCGCCACCACACAGACTGTAACATCTTTGCTAGCAGCGAAGCTAATTATTGGGGTTAGGGTTAGAGTCATATGACAGTGGCTCTTATTTTTTAACAACAATTGCCAAAATGTTTAATTCTTAAAGCATTTTTTTACTGTTGAAATGAGAAATAAAATATCTTACATTTTTGTTGTATTATTTTTATGAATTTCCAGGGTTTAGACGATTTGCAGTACTCATTTTGGTATCGGCAAGTACTAAAATTAAGGTACTCGTATCGGTTTTGAAAAGATAAGATAAGATAAACCTTTATTAGTCTCACAGTGGAGAAATTTCAGTGTCATCGTTGCACATTACTGCAGAGAAAGGAAATAATTGCACACATCAAAGTCTATTATTTAAGATAATAGACAAATTTAAGATAAAATAAAATAAAATAAAATAAGAAAATCTGGGCTATAATTGCACTTGGATCAGAAGTATTTACAGATGTCTATATTATACATTAGCAGCGGAGAATATGAGAATATGAGCAGAATAAACATCAGAAATAATATCAACAGGTAAAGTGACTTGAATGGGAGAATTATCAGATGGATATGAATAATACAGTAAGATATCAACAGGTAAAGTGTCTTGAATGGGAGAATTATCAGATGGATATGAATAATACAGTAAGATATCAACAGGTAAAGTGTCTTGAATGGGAGAATTATCAGATGGATATGAATAATACAGTAAGATATCAACAGGTAAAGTGACGGTGAAAGACAGAATGATCAGATATGAAATAATACAGTAAAAAAGTGGTATCGGTGCATCCCTACTGCTGATATAAACATTTTAGAGCTACTGGGTCCAAGGATTTGGTATTGAGGATTTATAAACCTGTCCAAGTCTTAAAATCTGGGAAAAGTAACACCGAAACTTTCCATTTTACATCATCAAACCTTGACATATGGTTCGGAAGTTTTTTTCACACACGCATATACCCTCACACACGATACACAAAACCAACTCCCGTCCAAACCTGTCTGAGAATCCCTGCGGCCATCTCGTGCCCACAGTCGAAGATGATGTGGAACTCCTTGCCTCTCTTCATCTCCTTGAGCAGAGGTTTGGCGTCTTTGGTGTCAGCGGGGAGTTGGCGGATCTTGAGCCGGATGTTGTAGCGTGACGGGGCCTTGATCAGCTCCTGCAGTCGTATCAGCCCTGTGGAGGAGGACAACGTGCACGTGTCAGAGGAGTAGACTTCCCAAATGTCACAGGACTTATTTGTATCAACATCACAGGAGAATACTGCATCCATGTGACATCACAACATAAAAGGCTTCCAGTCTGTGTGCAGGCTGGCCTTGTTGTGTCCCAATCTCTTCATTACTCACCAAGGCTCAGCAATTGAATAATGAATCAAGAACAAAAGAAAGACCCAGTGCCTCTTGCCAGGACACAAAAGCTTTTGAGAATACGTTTTCAGAGGATATTGGGGACGATTTGACGACGGTAAAGTTTTGTCAAATGATGTGAAGCACTCGCACAGAACTCAAAAACATTCATAAAAATCTCTATAACTTGATTAGGCTATTTTCAAAACTGTCTGGCACAATAATCACTATCATAATTTGATCAATTTCTCGAACATACTGTACAATCACCATGGAGACAGCAATCAGATGAAACCAGTGATGCTCTCTAAACTATACAAACCCATTCCAAAACACACTCAATGTTGTATTTCCTCATTTTCCATCTGCTCTGACTTTGGGGAGATCGTAATGGAAGTGGGAAAAGAATGGCTTTCATTACAGCGCGGACTGACAACACAGATAAATCCACAGCTTTCTTATTCCCCTCTAATTATCACACGCCACGAGACCAGGCCGCCGCAGTCGTTTGCTCAATTACTGCTAAATGATATCAACCAATAAGTGTAGATTTCATTTAGGCGCACAGACTCGTCCTCACGAGGGAGAGAGGCACATGGCGATGGGTTTATAAGAATGTAACACGTCAGTTAAGTGTGTGATGGTAAGGACTGCAAGGACAATGTATTAAACACTCAAGTGTGTGTTATTGTCTTACATTATGGAATAAGTTACTTGTTTTTCACACTTTTTTACACATTATTTAATCTCAATGCATTTGTAAGAATGATGGCCACACAACCCATGTTATATTTCTGTTAGTATCCAATCAGAAAGACTAAGTCGCATCACATGAGTTCCTCATTTGGGGTTCTAGTTTTGTTATCAGGTATGCGGTAAGGTATACTTTTAGTCCCATAGAGATATTTGACCCATCCTTCAATGCTCTCCTGTCAGGAACAGTGGTCTGTAGAGTGTGTGCAGGGCCCAGGGATTCATCCACAGATGCTGAGGCTCAGCTTGTTCAGGACGTTCTTCGCTGGAGGATTTATGGTCCATGATTTTGGTTTGGTCCAGCTGGTTCACTGCCTGAACCCCAGCAGCTGTGTCTGCTCAACATGCAAGCCACTTAGCCTGACCAGCCAGAGCCACACAGTCTCAATACCAAACTGAGTTGACCGCAGCTTTCAGGTCCAGTCTTTTAAAGACCAAAGTTGGGCCATGTTCTTTTGGTTGGATATGATGTGTTTCAAGCCATTCCACTTAATGGCTTTGTGTTTAGGGCATTTCTCCACACCAGCCTCATGTCTTTTGTTGACTCAAACAGCTTTTCTTCTAAGATTTGTCTTCTTCCCACTCACACCCTTCTCTAGAGACCACCAAGTGAGAGGGGGCGTGTTTTGTCTGAGCGACGTGACCACGCCTACTCAGAAAGTATCAGCTGATAAATGACACGTCACCAAGGCTCACAGCTCTGCAGCCTAACTCTGTGGTTCTTTTGAAAGACATCTAACATGTCTTTCAAAAGAACCACAAAGACACTGTTTAACTGTTATGTTTATTTACTCTGAGAAGAAAATACAAGATGGCTTCTGTGTAATCAACTGTGTAATCAATAAGCACAAAACAACCACTTTTATTTCCACTCAAAGCAAACTGTCATTATCCCAGTTCTATCCACGCACTGTCATCATGTCATTTTCTGTGTAATTCTCTTATTACTCACAAAAGCTCTAAAGTGCCTGAGCTTGTGCCTCATTTCAAAACGCAAGTCGATATCAGGCTTTGTGTCGCACTCTAACTCCTTCTTATACTCCACCTTCTGCATTGATCCATTGCTTCACACTTCTTTCCTGCCAGCCACAGGAAGTCCGACGGGAAATCCTCCCACAAAGCTTACACACGTCTTCATTTGGACGGATAAGCGACGGCAGTTTGATTCAATAAAAGTGTCTCTGCTCCCAGACCGATCAGTCATGTTAATGGTGCAGTAGGCAATCGGATTAGGGGAATGCCGCTAATAGCCGCTTATTACAAATACAGATGATGGGACATAAGCGTCGTTGGGCTGAAATTGAGCTTGAAGTACAATAATTTAAAGATATCCGCTACATTTAGTCTGATCTATAATGTTTGACAGCCATGATTCTTAAATGGCTAAAAGTACACTTCAAAACTATGGCTTATTGTTTGAAAAGGAACTCCCACAGTGGTTTTTGATTTAATGGAATCAAAGTTAGGGGCGATAGTGGCTTAGTTGGTGGAGCATTGGCCTTAGAGCAACAAGACCTACTTCACGACTCCCACTGATGACTGCTGTCGTTGTGTCCTTGGGCAAGACACTTAACCCCACTTTGCTTGAAGCCCCCGCTGAATAATCAAGGCTCCTGTGGACTCCCCACCTGCAGGAGGGTCAGTGAGGGGCTGGTGCTCTGTGTGCTGGGTGCAGCTCTGACTGCCACCCCCCAGACCCAGAAATGGATTAAGGGGAAGAAAATAGATGGAATCAAAGTTAAATCCATACTTCACAGAATTCTCCATGGTGAAAGATAAGTGTTATGCCATCTTACATCACTAATATCCTATTTATTGACATTTGGTGTGTGGATGGGATGTCACAGTAGGAAGACCACATTGAAATGTTGGAACGATCTGTGGCCTTGGTAGGTCTGTTTGATTATCTGATCTGTATGTTTAATTCTGTGATCTAATATTGGTGAATTGACAACTTTGTAATGTCTTTTGAGAAGTCTGCTATCCTGATTTAGGGCGATACAAAAATAAATGAAATTTAATTAGTAGGGTTTGCGTTCTCTGTGTCCACCTTCAATTTTTGCAAGTAACACAAGCAGTACACACATATATGTACCATATAATAGGTCATGAGGATAATGGTCAGGTGGATTATGAGAGTTCTAGGTGCAGATACTGCAGGAGGAGTCACAGCTGTGTGGACAAACATGGTTTAAGCAATGTTCCAAATGATAATGATGGATTATAGTGAGGGCGAACGGCACTGTTACAGATGGTCCAAGCTTTCCTTTGAACCGTGGCCGTTGGTTTGGACCAGATATGGCAAGAGTGGACTCAGCAGACTTGACTTCTTTCTGCAAATGGATTCAGTGGATTCAATGGATCAGCTATCTACATATTGTCCATCTGAGAGTGGGTCTGTTCTCTACTGTGGTTTTCCCTGAGGTTTCTCTTTTTTCCCACTGGGTTTTTTTGAGTTTTTTTTTTTTCCTGAAGAAGGATGGTTCAAGGGCATTTTTCCATTTTGTACAATCAGTTCCCTACAAAAGCGTTAAATGGGGTCTAGTTTGAAAACAGTAGGGCAGCAAGTCGGGGTATGTCTGGATTTAATACCTCTGTATTTTGGACGCTAAAAACTTTTATTTTTATTTGTTCTCATTCCATCTCTGTCTCTCTTCAGCTGCTTCTACTGTGACTGCTGTTTGTTTCAGTGATCGACCTTTTCTGCTGCCTTTCATTAAGTCCAGCCCTCCACCCTTACTGACAATAGTGTCCCCCTGGAGTTGACCTGTCCCCTAATGATGATGTTGTAGCTGTGCAGTGAACCGACCGGTCCCGGTGCAGCCCACTGAACCAGACACAGACGAGGAGACAGAAGAGATGTGAGGGAATGTCCACTGTGGTGAGAGGGGAGCTCTTAAAAGACATGGGGATGTATCAACCCTGATGCTAAACTGTGGATGTATTCTTTTGTGGTTTAGCTCTCTAATTAATTCTGATCCAATGTTAAGGGCTGCTCATTACTTTTGCACACATGCAAACCCCAGACGCTTGGTCACTTTTTCTAAAAAGTGACCTCTATGCTATATATTGGTAAACATCACCACAGACAGTGCTGACAGCAACAGATCACAGGTTTTGTTACACATGTGTGACACATTGTCTGGCAAATACACATAGGTGCATGACAGACCATGCAGTGGTTGTGGTCAAAGTTGTTTTTTTTTTGTATCCTGCAAAGAGGATCCAAAAACTGCTGTATTGACTTCATGTTCAAGTGGCTTTTTGAACCAGAATCTATTTTAGACAAGTCTGCACTGGACACAAGGCAAAAATAATTGTTGAGCACTAATGGCAGGATTGCTGTACAGCAAAAAAATGAAAGGGGATATTTTTGTACATAATGCAACATTTCTCATTTTGTGCTTGAGATAAGAAATATAAAAAAAAAAACAAGATTTTAAATAAGTAAACATTAAATTAAATATTCCCTTTTAAATTCCAATAGCCTGCACACATGCATTTATCTTTGTGGCGGATGCTCAACTAATGAAACCAGCTTTTGAACGAGCGTTGACAAAGTGTGGAGAGAGACGTCCAAAGCAGATGCCAGAGCCGAGGCCTAATGAACAAGACTGTCTCTCAAACACACCACACAGATGTTCCATGGGACTCGAGCTTTACTGAATCTTCAAACATGGCAGCTATTTAAAACATTGAGAATATGCTCAAGTTTTTTACTTAATCTGATTGTGTTTAATAAATAGGAATAGGAACGCTAGACGTATCTATACTATCCATCTTTACTCGACTAACTGAGTGGACATACAATCTAATTTTATTCACACTAATTTGCGAAAATAAAGGACAATGGGAGCACATGTCAATTAAAAGCCAAGGGAAACATGTGGACCAAATGATGATGGAATGTATTTCTAAAAGTCTGTATGATAAAGTAATGTGCTATATTTCTTGTTTTGTTTATTTATATATTATTTGTTTGGTGTCATTCTATGTGTAATGTATGCGTCTAGATTGTTTACCTTACTCTGATTTTCCCCGCAGTGGTGGCCATCAAACAGCCATTCTTTTTTATTAATCAAATATATGTTCCTTATTTATTAACAAATCCAGTGTTATGAATTTTCGTCTCACTGAAATATTCATGGCAGCATTAGAAAGAGGTTGCAGT